CCTTGGGCACTGCCAGGGATCCAGGGGCAGCCACAGCTGCTCTGGGCACCCTGTGCCAGGGCCTCAGCACCCCCACAGGGAAGGATTTTTTTTCTAATTTCAACTCTAAACCTTCTCTCTTTCAGTGTGAAGCTGCTCCCTCTTGTCATATTGCTACACATTCTTGTAAATAGTTGTGTGGTCTCTACTCCAGACAGCCCAAACCATGAGCTGCTGATCCTTCGGGTGTGACTTGGGTTGGCACAAACCCCTGGTGCAGCAGGTTACTCTGCCATCAGCTCCAAGAAAATTCCCAAGCATCACCAGTCAGCTGCCAGGGAATTTAGGATCAAGGAGTCCAAATCTAGAAAGCAAATGAAGGTTGGAGCTCAGATCCTTTGCTGAGTTAGAGCTGATATCACCATAATTGTGCTTTTCCATGGAGGAGGCTGCAAGGGAAGGAAGGAGTGAGAGACATGAAGGGGGACAGGCAGAGCTGGAGCACCACTGATGCCTTGGGAAGGCTGGCCTGGAACAGAGCTAAAGAATAAAGCAGGGATTTATTAAAAGGATCTCCTCCATGGATCCACCTTGGGCAGCACAAGAGCCCAGCCAGGGCTGCACCCAAGGTGAACCAAAATGGGCACAAAATGGACACCTGGTCATGGGGTCTGTCACTTTTATCAGTTCTGCTCCATTTGCATCTTGGAGTTCATTGTCCAATTACAGCTTTAGGTTATGCAGTCCCATCCTGCTTGTTTTTGTCTCCTCAGCCCACGTTGTTTGTGCTCTTGGGCCTGAGATTTGTGTGGTGGTGTTTGCAGGGGTCCCAGGATGAGGAAAGAGACAAGAATCTTGACTCCATGTTTCAGAAGGATGATTTATTATTTTATTATATATATTATATTAAAACAAAATTATATATTAAAACTATACTAAAAGAATAGAAGAAAGGATTTCATCAGAAGGCTTGAAAGGAATAGAATGGAATGATAACAAAAGCTCGTGACTCTCAGAGAGTCCAAGCCAGCTGACTGTGATTGGCCATTAATTAGAAACAACCAACATGGACCAATCACAGATGCACCTGTTGCATTCCACAGCAGCAGATAATCATTGTTTTCTTTTCCTCTGAGGCTTCTCAGCTTCTCAGGAGAAAAAAATCCTAGCAAAAGGATTTTTCATAAAATATGTCCGTGACAATTTGGATCATTTGTCCTTGCTCCCCAGCTAGGAAAGGAATTGTTTTGTCTCCCTGCTCTGTGCACAGAGCTCACCAGGCCTTAATGTGAAGCTGAGATCTGCCCACTAAAGCAGCACAGAATCTGAAAAATATAAAAGTGAAATATAAAAAGATAAAGGTTAAAACCAAAGGCATCACCACCAGGGTTTGTAGTGAGGGTGGGGGTCCTGCTGGGCACTCCCCATCAGCAGCACCATCCCCAGCAAAGCCCCCAGCTCTGTGCCAGCAGGCAAAACAGGCACCACCACACCCCCCATCCCATTCCCACCTGCGTCATCCTTCCCTGAGCATTCCAAGGGGAGCTGCTGTGGTGCCAGCCCTTGGATCTGGGGAATCCAGGTGGCACAGCCAGATCCAGGGAGTGGTGCCAGCTGCAGGCTGTGCCCAGGGCTGTCAGCACCACCTCCAGACACGGAAAGCTCCAGGAAAGCTCCTGAGCCTCAGCCAAGCAGGATGGGCTCCAAGCTCCTCATCCATAACCCTCCAACGCTGGGAAAGGTAGCTCACTCTCCCTGAGCCAAAACTGGAAAGGATTAGCACATTTTTCATCCCCCAGAGGGAACAGGAGACTGTTTTACCTCTGGAAAATGAGTTGTAATCACTGACTGCTTCCTAAGGGATCACATTGCCCAGAAGTGGTTTTTGGGAGGGATCCCCATCCAAGCACTCCATGAATAATTCCCCAAATGCGCAGAGCCAGCACAGCAATCCTACCCCCAGCACTCTCAGGAGATGACATTTTGCCAGGAAACACAGTGCTGGGGAAGCTGATAACTTGTCCTGGGCTCTCTACAGCTCCCAAAAGAGGAGCTGGCCCTGGAGAAGCAGCTGGCACAGGGCACTACAGCAGCAGCCCCAGATGCCAAGGGGATCTCCAGAGCTCATTTCCTTAATCAGCCATGCCTTTGTGCCACCCTGGGATCACAGCTGAGGGTGAGGTTGGGAGCCTGGGCAAAGTTCAGAGACAAAATGACCTTTGCAATTCCAGCAGCACACCCAGGAATGGGGCAGGCAGTGAATATTTCCCCTTTCCATGGCTTCCTTTCTGCCCACAGCTCTTTTTGTTTGTGGTGGTTTTGGTTTTTTTTTAAATATCAGCTGTTTCAAAGCCCAACACTGAAGAATTCCCCCCCAGTTTAAAAGCTACCCCTGAGTGCAGAAAGCTGAAATTTGGCAGGAAAACTGGGATAAATTCCTTGAAACAGCTTCCTTTGTAAGATTTGGGAGTTCAAAGTTCCGCATCAAGGCCTCACAGCACATTTTGCACCTATTCTGTTTTAAGAGCCCCATAAATGACCTGCCCAGGAAGATTTCTCAGCACTTTACCTGTGAGTCACCCTTTGGGCAGAGAAAGCCAGGTTTGCTCAATTCCTCTGGAGATCATTGTGGCCATGCACCAGAACCTGCACCAAGGAGTTTCCAGTGATATTTTTAATCTCATGTCCACAGCAACACCAACAGGAGTGGGCACAAGCTCCTAAATCCCAATGAACGGGAAAATCCTCAAAAAAGGAGCTCTAACCAACAGTTAGAGCAAAGAAGAGAAGGTCTGGGGTCTTTTCTGCCTTGGTTTGGGGTTGGTTTTATGCTGGGTTTTAGACTTGCCTGTAGGCCTTGAGTAATCAAAAATAGAACTGTAAATTCATCATCTGCTTTGTTCTGTGCAAGTAATTCTCTATTCACAGCTCACCCTCATCCTGCAGAGCAACTCACATGCTCTGGTTTGTTACGCCAGCATAGTCTAATTCCAGAGATCACAAAAATAATATTCCAAGTCTAATCCCAAAGAAAGGATTACCAGGGATCAAATCCATTATTTCGCAATAAACCCCTTTTATGTCTTTTTTTTTTTCCCATCAGCGATCAAAGCAAGTGGATTTCAGCTCTAAAAATGCTGCTGCTGCACAGCAGAAGAGATCCTTGCTCAAAGCACAAGGCTTAACATTTACTTGCCTTTTTTTTTCCTCCTCCTTTTTTTTTTTTTTTTTGCACAGTATCAAAGGAGATTTATTTTTTCCCCCTTGCCAAAAATAAAGTCTGGTCTAGATTCTCAGCTGCAGCTGAGAGCACTGGGAAAGAAAGTAGCTACAGCCCATTTCTTGCAGCTTCCTAATCTTGTAGGACAGTTTCTAATCTTCTCAAATTGTCAGCAGCCCATCAGAGCTGTTTCTTCCTTTGAGAGGCCAAGATGAAGAGAGAAGCTCTGGCTGGAGTGAGGGGAGCTTTAGAGACCACCAAAAGGGTTTTTTCCCCCCTCTAAACACAAGGGCAGGTTTTGCTTACCAGTTGCAGTGATTTTGGCATTGTTGCTGCCCCAGTTTGCTGTGTGACACAGGAGCCTTCAGCATCCCACTGCAGCACCCTCAGCCTCCTCTTTTCCATAAAACACAGCCAGAGCCACCAGCCCCAGCATTGCAGAGCTGCTTTCCTGGCTGCTGTGGCCAGAGGCAGCCACCTGCCCCCCCTGCACCACATCCCATGCAAGACAAAAGCAATCCAAGCCTCCACCACGTGCCATGTGTGAATGGCACAAACTGGGCACAGTTCTTGGAGCCCTGGCTGCTGAGAGTTTCAGATTTTCTGTGCTGACAGGCTCTGACCCCCAAGAGAACGCTGTATTTGACCTGAGGCTGTGGAGAAGCTTCCAAAATTGAATAATAGGATTCAGTTCTATCTGGATGAATGGTAGAATTCAATTCTTGCCTTAATCTGGGATAATGGGTGTGGAGTTTGAATAGAAGTGTGTAATATCACATGGTGGGAAACTTAGAGTTCAAGGTTTTAGAATATAGTAATATATATAAACAAGATGGAGGTTTTGGGGCAGAGGTTGGTCCTGCTTCTTCACCTTCTTCTTTACCTTCCTCTTCACCTTCTTCTCCCTGGGTTTGGGTGGTTTTGTGTAATTGGTTAAAAAAGCCCACATTGCAGGCCATGGGTGGTTGGTTATTGGGTTCAAAGTAAAAATAATTCAGGGTCATTTCTTAATTGGACAGTTTATCCTTAAAAGGCCTTGTAGAGAGAGAGAGATGGGGCTCCATTTTTAGTTTGTTAGAGTGAAGTGCTGTAGAACTCAGGGTTTGTGAGACTGTGACATAGATAAGAACTAATAAACATCTGAGTTCAAACAAGAAATACCATCTCACACATTTAATCCTGACCCTGGCAAAAAAAAGAAGCAAAGAATCTGCTCCTCCACTAACTGGGCCATATTTTCACTCCTAATCCCAGAGTGTTGGAATTAGCTCTGCTAAAGCCAACAGGATGATACAGGTCAGATCAATTCTGATGAAAAACTGAATTCTGGTTGTGCCATATGTGGCACTATAAAAAGGACTGAGCTGTACATATGGCTGGAGAAACAAACAGCACAAGTGCCCCCACACTGTGATGCCCTTTAGTCCTTCAGCACTTTCTACAGGGGCCACGATGAGAGGAGGGGAAGTGCCATCACTTGTCCTTGTAAAAAATCACCAGCCTTCAAATGCCCCTCTCCACCACCCTCCAAAGGAGCAGGAACCATCTCCTCGTGGGGGCTGCTTGGAGCACTGGGAGTATTTGAGGAGGTGGAGCTGGCTGGGCATGAAAATTTCCACAAAAATTTCAGTTGGGCATGAAAATTTCCACCAAAAATTATAGAAACATTAAGGTTGGCAAAGAACTTTAAGATTATCCAGGCCGACCATCAACTCAGAACCAGCAGCATTATAAAAAAACCAGATTTCCCCAGCATTTCCTAAAAAAAAAAAAAAAATTAAAATCTGCCTTGTTTCCCTAGGGATGCATCAAGTCCAGGGCTGGGACTTGAGGACACAACCTAAGAAGAAGAGTGCTGCCTGTGCTGGAGATTCATCCCTTTTCCCAGGAATATGGTCAAATTTCTGCCCATCTCTGAGGGACAGAAATGAAGCAAAGCCTCCTGATTAATGCATCAGTCCTACAAAGTCCAGCAGAATGGAAAATTTCCCACTTCACCCTTTGAAGCCACAGGAACCAGGCCTCTCAAGACAAAAAACAAAATGGGAGGAGGAGGAAGGTCTCAATAAAGAGGCGATGGTGAAGGTTGTGCCATCATCCCTTGGAGCAGAGATTCCAAAGTGGGATGCACAAGATGATCCAAAGCGCAGCAGGAGGAAATACCTGGATGGCAGTAGCACGTTATGTAATTTATAAACACACACACACAACTGCTTAAAAATATTTTTTGCACAGAGGGGAGCATAATAAAAAGAAGTTTGGAGACCACTGACCTGGAGGAATAGCCAGTCCCAGCTGGAATATCAGCCCAAAGCTCAGCTGGGAGAGGTTTTGGTGCCAGTCATAGGCTTCTTCCAGGGAGAAACAGCACGTCCCAAAATTCCCTTTCAGCCTCTCATGGAATAACCACCAGCGCTGCAGCATGCAGCAAAAGCCTCTGAGAAGTTGCCATCAACTCATCACAAAAAAAAAAAACAACGATAAAAAAAGCCCTCAGTGGATTGACCAGTGTTCAAAAATACATCCAAAGGATGCTCTTGCACGTCAGCCTGCTCTGGCACGCTCCTTCTGCACAGGCTTCCAGATGGTCCATCTTTTTAGCCCTTCCTTTATTTTAAGAGGACAGCCTGAGGCACAGCAGGACCATCTCACTGCTTTATTTGAGAGCAGGGAAAAATGAAAGTTCTCCCAGCAAAAAAAGAGAAATTATTTTTTCTAAAAATAATCGCAAGACAAATAATTCTCAGATTTCCTTTTATTCTTGTTATTCTTCCCCACGCAAGGCCACGGTTTTCAGAGAGGCCAGCTCAGCAGAGATTTCAAGAAGCCTCTTGGTGGTTGATGGTCCCTGTATTGCAGTCACTGGTTCACAGATTAATTTATTTTTTGAATCTAAGTCATGCACTCCACGCTGGACAACTTCAAGTGCAACCAAAGAAAGCCTATACACTATAGATCTATTTATTAGACAGTTTTCAAGGTTTTCCAAAAGGAATCTGTTAAAATGATTTCACACCCTCTTTCAGTTAAAAAAAATAAAAAGAAATTAATTTCTCAGGGTCTGCTGTGGAATCAATCAAGTTCAGGAGGAAAACTTAAATCTTGATAATTATGTATGATTTAAGTGGGATACTATAGCAGGTTGGGGGAAAGGGTTGCATCTCCAGCAGCTTCAGGGCTGTGAATTGGACAAATTGCTTTTCCTGCCACCATGTCCTGAAGAAAAGGAGGGGAAAATCATCAAGAACAGCAGGCACATAGAGTAGGAATCCAACTGCTTCTTACCATTTCCCTCTTTCCTCTTTCCAAAGCCTGCTTGATGGGAAATCAGCAGAGGGGAGGGAAGGACCCTCTATCCCCAATGATGCCACCAGGTCCTGGCTGTCACCTTGGTGTGGCTCTCTCCCTCCAAAGATGTGCAGCTTCAGCACGCACCCAACAAGTCCTACACCCCATAAATTAAAGAATCTGTTGGTTTGGGAACCCAGATTGAGGCCTGACCCTCCTTTGTGTCTCCTGGCCCTCCGTTGAGGGCTCATCCCTGGGAGATGCCAAGAGGAGAAACCCAAGTCAATCAGAAACACAAAGCCACTCAGCCTCCAAAAAAACCCCTGGATGGGAGTCAAACAACACAAGTTTTGAGGATTATTTTAGACTAAATTCTTCCTCAGGACATGATCTCTGAGGGTGAAAGCTTGGCCCCACCGAGGCCAAGAGCAAAACTCCTGCAGACCTCAGCAGGACCTGGCTCCCACCCAAAGCAAACTTTTCAAGTCTCAGTCAAGCCCCTCGGCTGCAGACGTTCATTTCTATTATTTCTGCAGCCTTTTTGTCTCACCAGAAGGATCCTTCCGCAGCGGCCATCCAAAAGCCGTTGACAAGACGGAAGAAATTTAATTTGCAGCTGAAAAAGAAGCCTATAAATTTCTTTTTTGTTTTCCCCAATTAGAATAAGTCTGTGACACGGTCTCCAAGCGTGGTGGTGTCAGTCTGGCTGGTGCAGGAGTCTGACAGCCCTCAAACCCTTTGGGGACTGGGATTATGCTCTGTTCTATTCCTGTTTTATTCTGTGATTCTAAAGCTGGGAAAGCCAAGATGACCAACACATCCAGCAAACAGAACCTTTCCTGGTGTGTGTTTGATTTTATTTTATTTAATGACCCAAACAGCCCCTCACCCTACAGGACCCTGAGCCTTCCAGGGACCACGGTAAAAGCAATTATTATAAACACAAGCATTTTGATTTCAGCCCTGTTGCCTCTCCTTGTGCCAGCATTGTTTGTCATTCCCAGCAGAGCCAGGGCATTTTCTCCTCCCAGGGCAGAGCACTGTGACAATGATGCTGGAAGTGCTGGCTGCTTTGACGTTTGGAGCCACAGTAATGAGTAGAACATGGAGCCTCCACTTTACAACAAGTGATGGTTTGTTTTAAAGCTCCTTTAAAGGAAACCAGAAGTTGCACCAATCTCCATTCTTGCTGTCAGAAGGAAACGTCCACGTGGCCACTGGGGATGGCTCAAAACCATGGCTCTGAGCGTGCCAAGAAGCTGGAAAACAAAGATCAGCCCATGCTGGAGGAGTTTTGTCCTTGGAGATCATCACCCTGGGGCTGGCAGGGATGACGACCCATCTCACGCCAGCTCTGTTGCCTGTGACCTCATGGGCAGAGGTGACCACAGACAGACACCTCCTTCAACCAAGGAATCAATGCCAACCACCACGACCAGCCTCTCTCCCCTCTGCTCCCAGTGTTAAAATGCCAACAAGTTTTGTCACAAGGGGAATTCCCCGCCCTCAACGCCACAGGTTCAGACCCCAACCCTTTACCAAAATTTTTCCTGTATGCTGGCACTTATGGAATGGTTCTCAGCAGCCAGAAACACAACAGGCTTTGGGAGGAAAGAAAATAAACCAGGTTTTGCTTCCACCTTCATCTCCTCTCTGCAGTCCCTGATATTTTTGTGCAAAGAGAGCAAGACCGCACCCTCCTCGTCCCTATGGATGCCAAGTTGGTGACTTGCCACCTTCTTGGAGCCCACAGACCTCGGGCTTGCTCCAAGGAAGGAAATCAGGCTCCAGCAGAGGCAAATGCATTGGACTTGCTCAAACATGCAGATTTCCAGGGCTCTCTGCTCCCACAGCCCAAAAGACATTGCAACACCATCCCAAAAGCCTGGCGTGCCAAAGCAGAGCTGGTGTCCAGGTTAGATCCAGGCCACTGCAGGAAAATGGGAATTTTAGACCCTGGGAAGTGCAGGGCCGTGAGAACGGGTAGAATTTCCTAAGATTGTCCCACAGGACACAGAGGAATCTTGAGTTTTTGTGTCATTCTTCACTCACATTTTTCAAGAAAAAGCTGGGAAAGTTGGGATTGTTCAGTCTGGACAGGAGAAGCTCTGGGGTGACCAAATTCTGGTCTTCCAGTGCCTGAAGGAGCTATAGGAAACATGGAGAGAGACTCTGCAGAAAGGATGGAGTGCCAGGCCAAGAGGGAATGGCTCCCAGTGCCAGAGGACAGGGCTGGATGGGATATTGGGAATTAGGAATTGTTCCCTGGCAGGGTGGGCAGGCCCTGGCACAGCTGTGGCTGTCCCTGGATCCCTGGCAGTGCCCAAGGCCAGGCTGGAGCAGCCTGGGACAGTGGAAGGTGTCCCTGCCATGGCAGGGGTGGCACTGGATGGGATTTAAGGTC